AAGAAGAGGAAGTGGCAGTATTGACAAGACTCAGAGAATGAGAGGCAGCTAGGTGGTGCAGTGGATAGAACACTGGCCCTGGAGTCAGGAGGACTTGAGTTTGAATCCAGTCTCAGATCAGACATTTGATACTTACTAGCTGTGTGACCCTGGGCAAGTCACTTAACCCCAATTGCCTTGACAATAAATAAATAAATAAATAAACCCTCCAACAAAACAAAAAAAGACTCAGAGAGTGAGGAAAAGAAGGAAAGGGGGTTAGGAAACAGGGAGTGAGTCCCTGACCTTACCTTGAAACAAACTAGGGATTTTAAGAGGTGGCATCTGGAGGTGGCACATCTCCATCTATAGGGAGACTCTTTTTTACTTGCACTCCTCACTGGTTCTGCTCCATAGCAGTGAGGAATATCTTTGGCTTCAGCGCGTTTCCTATAAGCACTCAGGTAAACAGGCAGCTGGGAGCTAGATGGCACCATAGTGCCCCGGATCTGGAGTCAGGAAGACCTGAGTTCAAATTTGTGCTCAGACACTTACTAGTTGTGTGACCCTGGGCAAGTCACTTCACCCTGTTGGCCTCAGTTTCCTCATCTGTAAAATGAGCTGGAGAAGGAAATGGCAAACCACTCCAGTATCTCTGCCGAGAAAATGCTCAATGGGATCATGAAGAGTTGGACAGGACTGGAACTGAATAACAGCAAAAATAGGCAGCTGACAGTATCTAGTATCTCCAGTATTTATCACAGTGATATATCACATGGTGAGTATTTAACAAATTCTTAGTGATTAAATTTATCTTTAAGGAAGAGAGGGATTCTGTGAGATGGAGATGAGGAAGGGAGGATTATGGGCATGGGAGATAGCCAGTGCAAAGGCATGAGGATGGGAGATGGGTGTTGTCTTTGAGGAACAGAGGAAAAGCACCTGAATGGCAAAGTGCACAAAACTGGAAAGGTAGGCTCAGGTGAGGTTGTGAAGGGTTTTAAAAACCCCAAAGGGAGTTTGTATGATATCCTAGAGATAATAAGAAGCCCCTGAAGTTAATTGAATGCAGGAATGTCATAGTCAAATCTGTGTTTAAGGAAAAACTTGGACAGCTGTGAGGGGGATGGATTGAAAGGTGGAGAGAGTTGAGGCACAGAAGACAATTAGAAGGCTATTGTAAGAGTCTAGGCAAGACGTGATGAGGATCTGAACTAATGTGGTGTGTGTGTGTGTGTGTGTGTGTGTGTGTGTGTATGTGTGAGAGAGAGGAGAGAGGAGAGAGAGAGAGAGAGAGAGAGAGAGAGAGAGAGAGAGAGAGAGAGAGAGAGAGAGAGAGAGAGAGAGAGAAAAGGCATCAAACTCAACAGGTATTATGGAGGTAAAAATGAAGACATTTAGTAACTGATTAGATTGGTAGTGGTGAGCATAAGGAGTCAAAGGTAACGCTCAGATTATGACTGGAAGGATGTGATGCCCATGACTATGATAGGGAAATTTGGAAGAGGAGAGGAATTGGGAGGATAATGAGTTGTGTTTTAGACATATTGAGTTTGAGACGCTCAAGTTTAAGATCACTAAAAGTGATTTCCCCTTTCTTTGAACTCCCATGATTAGGAGCAACAACTCCAGTTCATCTGGCTCTTAGCATACACTGGTCATGGACTGGTTGAGCCAATCTCTGTTGAATAGCTATGGATCTCACTGAAGAAGCCTTGTAGTGTTCTGGGGCTTGGTAAAGTTACCATGGTGTCATCTCCAAATCGGAACAAACTTTCTTTCCACTGGAACTCTGTGCTGTACCTCTGCCACAACAGTGATGGAGAGCCTCCCTGTTTTATATTTCACTGGATGCTGGTACTTAAAGGGTCATCGAACCAATCTATCCATACTTGCAAACAAGGAACTTGGAAAACCAGTAGCTTCAGCACCCAAAAGGATCCTTTATATTTATAGGACTGTAAACCTAAAGCTAGAAGGGGCTTCAGGGATCATCTAGTCCACCCTCCCTTCCCCCCCTCTTATTTTACAGAGGAGGAAATTGAGGCCCAGAGAGGTTAAGTGAGTTTTTCTAGGTTATACAAAAAATAAATGATTGGATTCAGATTCAAATCTGGGCCTTTGATTCTAAATTGAGTGTACTACTCTGCGTAAGTCCTTTGGTCTTAGAATCATTGGCTTTACAGTCAGACAAGACCTTAGAGTGACCTGCCTCATGTCAAACAGTTAGTAAGTGTCAGAGTCAGGATTTGAACCCAGGTCTTCTTGACTCCAAGTCTAATCTAGAGCTGTAAGGGACCTATGTTAGTCATCAAGTCCAACCTTCTCATTTTGCAGATAAGGAAACTGAGGCTCAGAGACTTGCCTAGGGTCACATGATGAATAAATGTCAAAGGCAAGACTTGAACCCAGACCTTCTTTACCCAATGTCCACTATGCTATCTCTTATAATACAATGACTCTTTTTTGTTTAACCTTGTGTCAGAGATGGTTCTGGGTATGAATAATGTTATTCTATGAGGTTGTCAATCTTTGGAGTGGACAGCTCAGGAGGCTGATGTCAATTCCTCACTTGTAAGCATGCTGGCCATAATGTATAACAGCAACAGCAACCACAGCTACATTTCAACATGACTGAACCTCAGGGTTGGAAGAATCCTCAGTGGCCATCAAGTGTAGTCCCAACCTGAACAAGAATCTCTCCTCCCGCATCTGCAATAAGGTGCCATCTCAGTGGCACTGTGGAAACTGAGGTTCAGGATGTTGAAGCCATTTGCCCAAAGTCACTAAGCTAGCAGGTCCTAGATCCTGAGCTCGAGCCCACATCTTCTGGCTTCAGATCTTTCCATTGAACTCTGCTGGATCCAGACAAAGAAAAAAAAAGAATCCATTAAGAGAAAGGAAAAACAAATTGTTTTAGTACCTCAACATTATCTGGAAACCGTTTAAAACCTACCACTCTTTCTACAGCCTTGACTAGAGCATACCTCTCTCTCTTTAATTGATCATAGGTTTTAGAGCTGCAAGTATGAACTAGTCAAGTCTAAATTCCAAGCTTGTTAACTAATTGGTGACTTTGGCTCTCAGAATAGTCCTCTGGCATGGGCAAGAATTGCAGCCTCATTCCCATGTCACAAAAGAAGAAGGAACCATACCAAAAGGCAGCTGAACTTGGTCAAGTGCAATGAGTAATCTTGGCTCAGAAGAAGAAAGGCTGACCCAACATTCCTCCTCTTGGTAGAGCAGTGGGGGCTTACGGGAGCAGAATGCTGCACACATTATCAGACATGAGTGCTTTGCTTCGCTGTTTCTTAGGTACAAAAAGTCAGAATTGGGGGAGTTAGAGATGTGCATATCAAGGAACAACTGATGTAAAAACCACAGTAAAAGACATCAATACAAAAAGATGGCTGAGAGATGAATGAGAGATGAACGTGTCCATTGACACAGGACAAACTCCTCTTTTCTAGTCCAGTGTTTCCTCCTCTTGAGCTAAACTGTTCACTTGCTCAAGTGACTTCCTGGGCTCTCCATGCTTGGCCTTTCCTAATTTTCCAGGGTTTTTTTCATCTATAAAATTGGGAAGAAATGGGTTCCCATTTCTATAGTGCTTAAAGTCCACAAAGCATTTGTCTCATAAGGACCCCTCCCCTGTATTCTCACCTAAGTCAATATTTACTAATCACCCACAATTTAATGGAACTTTCCCTTGAGAAGCCAGAGACTGGAGCTGTTTCTGTCACCAGCCCTCAAATTCCAAAACAGCTCTCCCTCTTCCCAGCTTCCTTTTAGGCGTGGTCTTTCCCCAATTGAATATAAGCTCCTTGAGGGCAAGGACTGTGTTTTTACTTGTATTTGTATTCCCAGTGTCTGGTATACAGTAAGCACTTAATAAATGTGTTGTTCCAAAAGGGGAAAAATCTCCTTTGTTCCCAACCCTCCTCATCCTCTAGGGCAGGAGTTCTTAATCTGAGGTCTATGGACTCCCAAGAAGTTTGTGGATAGATTTCAGGATGTCTATGAAATTGGATGGGAAAAAATCCATCTTTATTTCAATATACTTGGTTTCCTTCCTAACCCTACGTATTTTATTTTATGTATTTAGAAACATGATTCTGAGAAGAGGTCCCTGTGCTTTCTCAGGCTGCCAAAGGAATCTGAGACACAAGGTTAAGGACCCTCGATCTAGGGATCCAGAGTGAGGGCTAGGCCCTTCTCAGGGGCCAAGTCAACAGTGAGCCTTTGATGATGATGATGATGATGATGGTGATGACAATGATAGCTAGTACATACAGATTTAAGATTTGCAAAGCCCTTTGCAAATATTAGCTCACTGGGGCATCACAAGAATGGGGGGGGAGGTAGGTGCTATTATTATCTCCATTTTACAGATGAGGAAACTGAGGCAAACAGAGGTCAAGTGACTTGCTAGGATCACACAGCTGGTACCTGTCTGAGGTTTGATTTGAATTCTCGTCTTCCCTGGGCTCCATCTACTGTGTGCCCCATGGGGTCGAGAAAGGTTACACAACTTGTCCAAGGTCACATAGCTAATAAATATCAGAGCAGGAAGATGTGGGTTCAAATTCCAAATCAGTTACTAGCTGTGTGACCCAGGGCACGTTACATGTTTTTTGGGCGGCAGTTTTTCACACTGAAATGAAGGAGTTGGATGGGATGGGCTCTCAGATCCATTACAGCTCTAAATCTATGAGCCTAGGACTCTTGGGCCTCAGTTTCTGCATCTGTAAAATGGGTTAGTCTCCATGGTTTCTAAGGTCCCTCCCACTTCTAAATCTGAGATCTTACTGTCCTCAGACTAGACTTCTCAAAGGACCACTGAAACCCAGAGCTCTGCGCCAGCTAGCCCGCCCCCTTTTCCAGAACCGGGAGCTCCTTTAAGAAAGGGGCGGGGTACCGGGGCCCCAGCTGCTGCCCAGGGCCTGACGTCGCACGGACGCCGACCAGCGGTCATTTTGCGCCCTCCCTCCGCGCTCCAGGCTCCGCCCGCGCCTCCACCACTGCTGCCGGAGCTGCTGCAGCAGACCAGGCGGTGGAAGCTGGAGCCGCTGTTCCCGGGAGCCACCCCAGGAGAAGAGACAGACAGAGACAGAGACGCCATGGCTACTGCACCAGCAGGTACGGAAGGCAGGCAGGAGAGAAGGACGCATCGGGGGAGGGCAGCCTCCCACCCCCCGCGCCCCAGGCTCCCCAAATCCCCCCTAACCGAGCCCCCTCCTTCCTTTCGCCCCACAGAGGCTGAGACTCGTCAGAGGCTGCTGCGCACGGTCAAGAAGGAGGTAGCTACCGAGGGACCCCTGGTGAAGGGCGGGGGGAGGTTGCTGCCAGATGTGAGAACAGGAGGGGGCTGCAGCTGGATGGTGATTTATTTGGGGCGGGGGAGAAGGTGAGGGCCTAAGAGGGCTACTGCAGGTGCCGAGGCACATCTGGATGCAGGTTTGTTTATTTGGAGGTGGGAGGCAGGGAAAGAGAAGAGGGGCCGGTGCTCCAGGTAACAGCACCTTGGGGTGCTGGGAAAGAGCGTCTGCTTCTCCGTTTACAGGGGCAAGGGGCCTGAGCTGGGGCTGCATCTGCTTGGGGATGGGGGTGCAGTCCCCTACTGTGTGTGGGTAGAGCTACTGTCATCCGGTGGGGAGTGGAGGGGTATGCGCGCTGGGGCTTCCATTGCCCTGGCTCACTGATCCAGGGTGCTTTAGGGTGCTGGGTGCTGGCCTTCTGCATCTGGAGATTTTAGAGGGGGTTAGGTCCAGATCACAGGCTTTCCCCAGCCCTCCCCAAACCCTTGGTTCCACCTCTGAGGTCCTTCCACTCCAGCTGTGGGGACTGTTGGGTGAAGAGGATGGTTTCCCAGCTTTTCCCCTTCCTGGATTGGAGGAGAAACCACTGGACAGCAAGCCAGCTGTTTCTCTAATTCCCCCAAGGCCGTGGGTAAGGAGGTGGGCTGTGGCCTTTGACTGTGTCTTCACCTTCCTCTGCTATGTAACCTGGGGGAGGTGTGCAGTTCATCACCCCCTCGGCTGAGGAGGCTGGATTCCCCCCAGGAGGATGTGAATGTGGGCTTTGGTGCACACCAGCTCCCCCCACCATTGGATGAAACCGATCCATACTTTGATTTTTTTTTTTGAGTGTTTCTTTGCCTGGTGAATGCTAATGAGGAGCTTATCTGTCTAAGATCCCTCCTGCATAGGATGCCTCTGCATGGGCTCTCTGTTTGGATGCTAGGTGTGGTCGTAGGGGGAATTGGGGGGGGGAGTAGCAGGCCAGGGGTGATGAGAAAGCTGGAGACATTGGTACCTCCCCTCAGCCCCACGGCATGGCAGTGCAGGCTAGTGCTGCCAGACTGGGGGAGAGATTGGGATCTGGAGAACAGGACCTGTTGCTGGATTTCTTTTCTTCTCCCTTCCCTCCTCCCCTCCCCTGCTGGGAGCTGGGGGCTGGGAAGCTGGAGCAGAGCGACTGGTAATTAAGAACTGGCTCTTAGATCTATTGATTACACAGAGAAAGAATAGTGCATCTAGAGTCAGAACCCCTGGGTTGGAAGCCTTGCCACCCCTCAAATGCTGGGCTGGTCCCTTCAGTCAGAGTCTTAGCCTCCTCATTTGTCAAATTAAAGGGAATGGACCCCTGAGGTCCTTACAGCCTTAGAGTGGACTGGCCCAGTGAAAAGAGAGAATGATTTGAAGTCAAGGGCTTGTGTTCGAATCCTCGCTCTGCCACTAGCAATCTGCAAATCAACCAGCATTTACTAAGTGCCTACTATGTGTCAGGCTCTGGTCTAGGTGCTGGGCATCCAAAGACAAAATCGGAATAGCCTTTGTCTTCAAGGAGCTTATATTCTATGGGGATGGCAACAGTAACCAATAGGTTGGCATAGTCATGGTGACCCTAGATAAGTCACTTCACTTTTTAATCCTCTTGTCAACTCTCTTGGACTGCATTGCAGAGAAGGTATCTCCATTGGTAGGCATGTCCTCATTCTTATTGGGTAGGAGGCATGCATGTATGTGTACACACATGTGTATACATGCATGTATACATGTATGTAGATGAATGCCTTATATCCATCACAGATCCAGTCCCTGTTTCTCATTACCTTCTATGGAGCTAAGCACTGGGGATATAGAGACAAAAACCAAAGTCTGTCTTTGGGGAGTGTACATCCTAATGACAATAATAAATCAACAGGCATTTCTCAAGCACCTGCTATGTACCAGGCACTGTCCTCATCAGGCACTTTTACTTCTTCTAGAAAATAAGATGATTGGACCAGATGGATGGATGGATGAATGAATGAGTGAGTGACTGAGTGAAAAAGCATTTCCCAAGTACTTGCTGTGTTCTGGGCACTGTGCTAAATGGTGGAGATGCAAATACAAGGAAGCAAGACAGTCCCTGCCCTCCAAGAGCTTACAATCCATCAAAGGAAGACAACATTTAAAAGGGAGCTATGGGGAGGGGAGGGAGCATGTGCGGTGGGATGGTGTGGAGACTACCTGGCAATGAGTCTTGATTCCAGGTGAGTCAATGGGAAAGCTCAGCTCTGGAAGCCCAGGGTACCAGAGGTAGAGTCTGGGATAAAGTGGGAAGGGGAAGAGGAGGACACTTACCTCTCTGTATATGATCCTTGGCATTGGAGATACAGTAGCAGAAATGAAATCATCTCTGCCCTTAAGAGAGCTTACATTCTTACAATAGGGAGAAAACATGTATATATAATACATATTATATATATATATAATTCATAGATTATATAATGTATTATATATAATATATATTATATACTATGTATATAGTAGATTATATATAATACATAGAACATACATACATATATGCACACAAAAAACCAAGATAATTTGGGGAGAGGGTACTAGTAACTGGGGAGACTAGGAGAGGCTTTCTTGGAGAATCTAGCACTTGAGCTGATCTTTGAAGGGAACTGGAATTCTCATAAGCAGAGAAGAGGAAGGAGTGCAATCCAGGCATGAGGGACAGCCAGGGCAAAGGCATGGTGATGGGAGATGGAGATGGAGTGCAGTGCGTGAGGAACAGCAAACAGGCCAGTTTAGACCAAAGACTGCATAAAGAGGGATGATGTAGAATGAGGCTGTAGAGGTAGCTTGGAACCAGAACAATGGCCCTGGAGTCAGGAGGACCTGAGTTCAAATCTAGCTTCTGATACTTACTAGCTGTGTGACCCTGGGCAAGTCATTTAACCTCGATTGCCTCCAAAAACAAAATTCCAAACAGGAGTTTGCATTTGGTCCTAGAGGTAAGAGAGAACCCCTAGATCTCATTATTGTCTTTGTAACTTTGGTTGGGTCCCTTACTTTCCCTGGGATTCAGTTTCCTCATCTGTCAGTGAAGAAGAATGAAACTCTGTGACCACTAAGGAGTATGGGATTTAGAAACGGAGTTCTTGGGTTCTGACACCAGATATCTGTGTGTCCTTGGGCAAGTCACAGCTTCTCTGGACCTCAGTTTCCTTATTTTTAAAATTGGAGGTTGATCTAGATCATCTCTTAAAATCCCTTGCAGCTTTAAATCTGTGATCTTTTCTCCTCAAAAGAAAAACTTAGCCTAATGCAGAATATAAGTTAGGAAGGGCCAAATGTAGCCTTTGTAGGTTATTCCAGTGAGGCTAAAATTATGGAGTAAGAGTAAGGGCTAGCATTTATATACGGCTTTAAGGTTCACAGAATACTTTACAAATATTATCCCATTTTATCCTGACAACAACCTGGAAGGTAGGTGCTGTTATTGCCCCTATTTTACAGTTGAGAAAACTGAGGCACACAGGAGGAAGTGACTTGCCCAGGATCGCACAGCTAGTAAGTGTCTGAGGCTGGATTTGAACTCAGGTCTTCCCGACTCTAGGTCCTGTGCTCTATCCATTGCACCATTCTGCTAAGGACCTGAGTTATGCCACCTACTACCTGTGACACCTTAGGCAAGGTGCCACCCCCCCAACTCTCAGTATCCCCATTTTTAAATTGAGGAAATTGCACTGGATGTTCTAGAAGGTGCCTTCGAGCTGTAAAATCCTATGACTAAGAATTAACCTTTTCCAAATCCACCAGCATTTGACACCAGTGGGTATAATTAAGGCAGTGATTGGCTGCTAAGCCTGGATGCTCTTTCCAGCTCGGTCTGCGCTGACAGCTCAGATATGAGCTGTTCCCTTTGTCTCTCTCTGTTTTTTCTTTAGTGCTGAAGGAGGCTTCCTGGGAAGGATAGATTCAGAATCCAGAGCCCCACATTTGAACCTGTGTCTGGTTGCAGGGAACAGAGCCTACAGGTGTAAACTGCTTACAGTTCTTAGCGTCAGCTAGCTTGCTGTAGCAGGGAGGCTTTGGAAGCCCATGGATACTGAGTCCTGTATTCAGTGCTAGAGGTTTCTGCCCAAAAGCAAGGGCCTGTGGTCCTAGGAAGGAAGCGGCCATTAGGACGATCATTTTAAAACTGTGTGAGGTCTCAGGAGCCAGGTGGTCCAACATTCTTATTTTTGTTGTTAGTCATGTCTGGCTCATTATGACCCCATTTTGGGGTTTTCTTGGCAGATACTGGGGTAGTTTGCCATTTCCTTCTCCAGCTCATCTTACAGATGAGGAAAGTGAGGCAAACAGGGTGAAGTGACTTGTGTAGGGTCACACAGCTAGTAACTGTCTGAGGCCAGATCTGAACTCAGGAAGATGAGTCTTTCCTATTCCAAACCTAGTGCTCTATCCACTGCACCATCTTATTTTACAGAGGAGGAAACTGAGGCACAGAGAGACAAAGTGACTTGCGCAACATCATACAGGTGGTAAGTAGCAGAGACAGGATTTGAACTCAGGGCCTCTGACTTCAGAGTCATTTGCCTTGCTTAAATCCATGTTACATACAAGTTAAAACATTACCCTGTGATGTCGTTGGAACGAAGAAGGGGAAAAAACCCACCACTGTTTCCATTGTATTGAGTCCTAGGCCAAGGGTTCTTAACCTGGGGTCCATGGGCCTCTTAATTTCAGGGAATCCTTGAACTCAGCTGGGAAAAGGAATTACATCTTCATTTTTACTAGCCTTCACATGAAAGTTGGCATTTTCTCCAATTATTGTAAAACATGATTCTGAGAGGGGGTCCGTGTGTGTCACCAGACAGCCGAAGAGGGGTCTATGGCAGCAAAAAGGTTAAGGACTCCTGGACTGCATGGAATTAGGATGATGTTCTTAGAGCTGAAAGAGCCCTAAGGGAACATGTAACTCAACCCCCTCATTTTTACAGATGAGGAAACTGAGGCAA